GAAAAAAATGGAATTCAAATTTTGCCATAAGAATCTCCAAATTTGTTACCAAAAAATAGGGTTTAGATTTTGTTACTAAAGATTCACATGTATTTTTTTGAACTTTCCATTAATAGTAAGTCAAACATTATATTTATTTGGCCAAACTTTCTATTAATGTATTTTTCAACAACCTCTTTATATATATATATATAGATATAGATAATAATATATTAAAACATTTAATATTCTTTAATTGGTAATTTATAAATATATTATATAAATATATATTTAAATTTACTAACACTTGATGAAGAAGTTATGAATTTTACATTTTTCTAGATAAATTAATCATATTGATGACATATTATTATTTATTAGCACCATAAACCAATGTAGATTGTAAAATAAATAAGACAAATTAAAAGGTTCTAGATAAATTAATCATATGAATTTTACATTTTTGTGAATTCTCTATCCCCAAAACGCTGCTCTAATGAGCTTTTTCTGAATTAGAGCTTTGGGCCCAAAAAGCTTATCAAATAAGCTATTTACCAAACAAGCTCAATAGCGGATTTGACAGGTCAAACCTCTCAATTAAGTCTAATCCACTAATCTATCTTCAATCCGTTATCTACCAAACGAGGCCTAGAACTCATTTTTATTTCATTTGAGGAGGAACAATTCCCTCTGGGGTCACTTACTTTGAAGTATGGGATTGGACAATTTAATCCAGGCTACTTTAGCAATAGTCCCGTGTTTACTTCCTCGGATACACTTTTCAGATAACAAATCAAGCATTTAATTTGTGGGGGCTAAATTAGATGATAAAACAGAAAAAGACAAAACTATCCTTGTGTACAAATAAATTAAATCAGAGGAAACTCGGCATCTCATTTTCGTCTCTTCCTCATACGAGCCCTAAAAATTTGCCCTAATCTCCCGACGGCGTGGACAGCAGCAGCTGTGGTGGACGTCGGCGAGGACGACATCCCGAGGACTACCGGGCAGTTAAGAGAAATTGAGAGAGGGAGAGATCTGACATTTGAGAAATATAGTTGCTTGAATTTGACATATTTTTATTTTTTCGATTTTGCTCAGGCCTGGAGAGTTTCAATAATGGAGGATTTCTGCGTGGGACCCGCAGCCACATAATTGCCACATCACAGAAATCCCATCCCTATCCTTTAACGTAAACATAGGATATCTCAGTTATCTTGTCCTATCCATCAAAGTAAACGACCCCTCTATATATACTTTCAGAATAGGTTGAGCCTACATGACAAACTCCCACGCTTTGTAATCTTATTTGGCAAAAAAACCATGCTTTGGAGTCAGGCTTGAATATAAATTAATATTTTTTATTACACTAAATCCATGATTGATTTTTTCCTTCTTTACTTCCACAATTAGTTACCATAAATTATTTTATATTTCTTTTTCCTATATTACCATACATTACATTTCATTTTCTTATTTAATTCATGCATTGGTTATTATAAATGTTTCTTCTTTTAATAAAAATAAATAATTATTTATCTACATTCTAAAATTACATATAAAGTTAAAAAACTGTGAAGCACAACGGATACTACACTTGATGTATTTGGAATCTAATTAAGTAAAAAATTAATCTATTTCTTAATATTAAACAAACATATTTCTGCACTTATGCATATACATATCACCATATTATTTCTATTTATTTAAGATATATATTTTTTTACTTAATAATAGTAAATAATATCGATAATTTTATACGATATAAGTAAAAACATTCTATATGAGTTGACATTTTCATTTAATATACGGGTGTTTAGTTATTATGATTAAAAAAATATAATTTGACAATTTAATTAAAACTCAAGATAATGTTTTATATAAAATTAAATTATTTTAGTTTAAAAAAATTAATATTTTTTACATATGCTTTCTAATTCAACACCCGTGTATTTACACGAGTATTGTACTAGTGTGAATAACAAAGAGGTTTTGATGCTATTTTTGTAGGTGCTTATGTCATGGATGATTATCAAATCAAATTTTACTTCTAGAATGCAATATCATAATCATTTTGTCATTGGACTTGTTCTATGATTGCAATATCCTTGGTTACATATTTATTTTTCGTTTGAGATTTTGTCGTATGCAACTTTAGCCAATAAAACATTGAAATATTCATATACTTTGTGTTTGCCTAACTCTTAATTGAGTTAATAAATAGGAGAGCATTTACCTACGGTCCTACTCCTAATTGGGTTAGTGAGATGTAGCACGTCACTTCTGTGACGATTAACATGTAATACAATACGTGTGACAATTTTTT